TCTGTTCTTTCAGGATTTGAGCATGTATGTGGGTTTATGTTGATGGATATCATATAGGATATGAATAGTTGTGTTCTCCTGTTCTTAGAAAGAAAAGAGAACACAACATTTCTTTGTAAATAGTGTTAATGAATTTTCTCTGATAATAGAATAAAAACAGCAGTATTAAGTGAAAGTAAAACTGCAGCTGCTGTGGTAAAATTTTGGGATATAAATGCTTCCTCTTTTTGAAATTCACAAATATGAAGATGAAAGGTACTGTATCGAGATCCCAGTTTCTATTTCTCATTCTAATTCTGTTTTTTGTTTTGTTCTGTACTTGCTGCCAAAGGCATAAGGAAAACCATTGAGCAAAGTGAGATGAAGCCACAATTTGCCAAGTGGAAATTTTGTGAGTAATTCTGGTGCAATCTTTAATTTTGGGCTTGAAAATGTAAAAACTCCTGTAATGTTTGTTTGTTTTTGTTTTTTTAAATGTGTAATGATTCCGAGCTCCAGAGCTCTTCATGCATAGTTTGCTGTTCTTTGTTGAGTTTGTGATCATCATTAAAATGTGCACCACGTGGTGTCCTGAAACACTTGGTGTTGACATTCTATAATCCCAGGAAGTCAATATGAGTATCAAAATGGTAAATGGAGAGGTTCTTATATAGTGCTTTTTTACTCTACCTGAGTACTTAAAGCTTTTTACTGGATTTACCTCATTCACCTAGTCACACCGATTCATACAAGAATATTGTTCTATGCAATTTGAGAATTGGGAAATAGAAATACTTTAAGTTTTTATTTTTAATAAGTTTTTTGCACATTCATCATATATTATGGCTCAAAGTTATTAGTAACTGAAATTGTAACTCCACAAACTTAAATTAACTTATATGGATTATGTAATATGTAATGTAATATAATACGTATAATATGTATGTTATATGTTATTCAGAAGATAAATGTTTTAAAATCTCTTTTTATCTTCAGTCCATTCAGTTGCCATCAGTGTGCTGCTGTTGGCTTTGTATCCCACTGCTGCTGTTGCCAGCATGAATGAAGAGCTGGCTAAATGTCTGGAGGATGACGATAATTATCGGCTCATGGACACAGTGAAGACTGGCCTTCCTCAGATCAAGAAGTCTCATCATGTTATTATTGTTGGGGCTGGGATCGCTGGGCTGACGGCTGCCAAGCTATTGGAAGGTGCAGGACACAAGGTACATGCAAGATTTGAATATGTGTATGCTAGTTATGTTTTTTGTTTTCCATCCAGTGAATGCAAACACTGCCATCTGCAGGTTAAAAAAAAATGTTGCAAGTAAGTAAGTAGAATACATCTGTTCCAATGATATCATTTTATATTTAAAAGTGTTTAAAATATAAAATCTTCCCTTACTTTTAAAAGGACAAAACATTTAACACATTTTTTTATTCATGCCTAATTATTGTATCCAGTCAATGCAATTTTCTTTTATATGAAAATCATCTCCAACCCCAAAACATAGATGACTTCTAAAATCCCAAGAATGGTCCACTTCACACTATGAGATTCTGGATCCAGAAGGATAAGGAGTTAGTTTGTGATATTTTCTTGAGACAATGAATTCGTATATATCTCCTATTTCAAATATTTTCAATTTTGTCCGGTCTTGCAGTGGTCTGAAAGGTTCTGGTAAAAAGTTATTGTAAATATTCTCTTTAAATATATATTTTTAAGAGCCTGCTAACAATCATACAAACTTTATCAATCACATAAGTTGTGTTTTGGGCCCTAGTAGAAGTAATTTCATGTCTGAATTTGACACAAACGTCTTTGGACTTCATGTTTCTGTAAAAAACAAAAGGTGCACAGTAGTGAAATGGCATGGATGAGGCATTTTTAAGATTCTTCTGAGATCAGAATGTGATTTGAGAGTGATTGCAGACAAGAACAAACACAATTACCTATCAACCTTTCTCATATTTTTTTAGCTTTCATTTAAACTCATTATAAATAAAGTCCTAATGGCTTATGTACAACACTCCTGGATCATTACAAGTGTCTAATTCTCTGGATTTATAACAATATGGTATGTTTCTAGATGTTCCAAGATAGAACAGCAAAAGTATATATTTTCCACAATATTTTTGTTTATTGCTTTTTCTCTTGAACTGTTTGATTAAGGTAACCATCATAGAAGCTAGTCCTCGTGTGGGAGGAAGGGTGGAGACCTACAGGGATGAAGAAAATGGCTGGTATGCTGATTTGGGTGCAATGAGGATACCGAGTAACCACCAGTGAGTAAAAGAATGTCAAACATTGTCAAGTTTTGCTCTCAAAGGACCAGTTTTTGTACTGCATTATAAACATTAACAAGCGAATGACCTCATGCTTTAACAGGATCATCCGCTGGTACATCAAAGAAATGGGGCTCAAGCTGAATCCATTCATCATGTATGACTCCAACACTTTTTACTTGGTTAATGAACAGAACAGGACGAGGACATACGCAGTGACAGCAAACCCCGACATCCTGAATTATAAACTGCCAGAGAGAGAGAGGGGGAAATCAGCTGACGAACTGTTGTGGCAGGCTTTGCAGAAGGTAGGTAAAGATGTAGGAGGAATTCATGGCACTTTTTATACAGAGTGATACCATAGCAGAGCTGTCTATTAAAAATACAACAGATTCAGCAGTTGTCTTATAAAATATTAATTTAATGCATTTATGCACTCCATGGACTCTAAGCCTTAAATGCAAGTGTTGAGTTATTCATGCAGACACATACTCCACATGGTTATCCCACTGTTACTGAAAATTAAAGTTAACAATTTCTTGTCACTTCACACTCAAATAAAGGCAAAAAAGCTCAAAATATTTTTTTAAGTTACTTAAAGTTTAAAATGCACAAGAAGCCAAAGAAAATGTACCATATTGACACTTTTCAAGTTAAATGCAAATCTTAGCATGTGAGCTGTTGAGTTTTTTAAGATTCAAATGGGCAATGCTTTGTCTTCATGTTTGTAGGTATTAAATATTTAATAAAATTATAGGTGTTGTAGGCTCCTAATGGTGTACCAGTGTTTTACCAAGACTCAACTGGAACAGACTCCATTCCTGTAACGACTCTATTGGATGATGTGTTATTAATATGGACTCAATGCAATGCAGACATCTGTTGTCAACAAAATTGCAATACTAAATGAGCTGTGCTCTGACTTTGCATAAAGGACCACTGGAAATAACTTGTGTATGTATCTTTTCTTTCAAGGTGAGAGATGAAATTAAAGCCCATGGATGCAAAGCTGCATTTAAAAAATATGACCATTATTCAGTAAAGGTAAAGTGCAGAATCATATTCTGAAATAGTGCCTGTTATGATATTAGGTCTTCATTGGACAATGTAAAAAAAATTAATTTACTAAAAGACCATTTACAACCTTCTTTTTTTATAGGAGTACCTGAAAGAGGAAGGTGGTTTAAGTCCAGAGGCAGTGGTTATGATTGCAGAGTTACTGAATGAACAGAGCATGATGCATCTGGCTCTGACTGAGATGCTCTACGTCGAGAATGATGTCAGCGATAGCACAACGTAAGATTATTAGACTTAACAAGGAAGTGATGGTAGTCGTGAACAATGCAAAGAAAGAATAATCAAATCTTATTTTTGTTCTTGTTTTGTTCACAATCCTCACCCAGTACAATGTTGTAGTTGGATTTCCTTGATTGGATTCACTTATAAGCAAATTCTTAGGGAATCTCTCATAATTCCTGTTGAAAATTATACTCATATCAGCTACTCGCTTAGATTGTAGATAATGTTGTAACATTTAATCACAAAGGAAGCAACCAGTTTGCTGTATATGTAACATTTGAGACTAAAAACAAACAAGCTCGAAACAAATATGAGGTTATAACCATGTATCTGCCATACACCCACCACAAAATACTACAACTGTAAAATTGAACATGAATAGGGTAACATCAAAGTAAGTAAATAACGAAGAAATGTGATGGTAAATATAATTTACTTACACGTCTAGGTAGCGAAATGTTCCCCTGTTCCTAAATGCTGACTACTAACTAATTTCCTCTTAAATTCAACTGTTTATGTCACCACTGCATGGTCCTAAGGTCTTTGCACTGATTCTGTACAAAAGCTCAGGCTGACATTCGTGTTTTTGTGTTTGTTTTTTAAGGTATGATGAAATAACTGGTGGGACAGATCTCCTCCCCAAAGCTTTTCTGTCTTTCATTGATGCCCCCATCCTCTTCAACTCCAAAGTCAAATTCATCAGCCAGTCAAATGAGGGTGTAACTGTGTCATATAGAAGAAAGGGCGAGTCAGCTTTGACAGACATTACTGGTGATGCCGTCTTAGTAACAACCACAGCCAAAGCTGCCCTTTTCCTGGATTTCAACCCACCTCTCTCCGTCCCAAAAATGGAGGCATTGCGGGCTGTCCACTATGAATGCTCCACTAAAATCATCCTCACCTTCAAGAGGAAGTTCTGGGTGGACGATGGCATCCATGGAGGAAAGAGTATCACAGACCGGCCCTCTCGTTACATCTACTACCCCAGCCATAGTTTCCCAAGAAATCAAACAATTGGTGTCCTCTTGGCTTCCTACACCTGGGCTGATGACGCCCAGTTTTTACAAGGTGCGACCGATGAAGACCTTAAAGAGCTAGCGTTGAGAGATTTAGCAAAGATTCATGGTGAGCAGGTGTGGGACCTCTGCATTGGGGTGGTGGTGAAAAGGTGGGGCATTGATCCATACAGCTTGGGTGGCTTTGCGTTCTTCGCGCCATACCAACACATAGAGTACGCAAAGGAGCTCTTCAGAAGTGAAGGCAGGGTCCACTTTGCTGGGGAGCACACAGCTTTCCCTCATGCTTGGATTGAGACATCTATGAAATCAGCTATTAGAGCAGCTAAAAACATCAACAACGCTGCACACGAGGAGT